TAAAGGATAAAAAAAAACAGTTTAAGAAATACATTAGAGGAGCCATTTTAATAGCAACACAAATATCCTCTGCATGTGATAAGAATTACATGTGTGCATTAGAGGACTATCATCTGTTTCATACTGGGCCTAGAGGCATTTTTGTTAAAAGTAAAAGGAAGAGTTTTTGGAAACCATCCAAGGAGAAAAAACTGGCAGGAACCTGAGAATAATCTTTGAAGGCTTTTATTGGAGTGATGTTTGGTCATCCATAGCTATTCCCTAAGATTTGATAGTGTTGAATGCTAACCCCACATCTTCTTTCTCTGCTAAAGTCTCCCATGTCACCATAATACCTTAATCCGTTTCACTTGTGTTTGCTGAAGTACGATTCAGAACCTCAAAATGAATACCCAGTGGTCTTTAGTTAAGAGATGCAGACTGGGAAAACAAGGAAAGGAAGTCTTGATTTAGTACAATTAGGGAGATGTGTTCTTATCATCTTGAGTTAGAATTCTAAAAATAACTCCTCATAGAATATCTTTACATGTGTTGACTTAGTTCTGTGAACTCAATTATAACTCAGATTTTCTCTAACTTTGAATGACTTTTAGAAATCTTCCTTTTAAAAGGTTTGGAAAAAAAAAACAAAGTTAGGTCAGAACATATGCTTAGGAATTCTGAAAGATAGCACGTCTTATAAAGGATAGTCTTCTGAAAAGTGCAGTCTGTTGTAAACTTGATCCTCAGCAATGTCATCACTGGTCAGAAACTTGTCCTTAACTTTAGAGGCTTCTAGGACATCAATAGATAAGAGAGTCTAATTTGTAAGCAATGATATCAGCTAAATAATTTTATTGAGAAATAGCTTGTCTAAATAACTGACATAGGTAATTTATGTAGTCTTCAGTCCTGGAGAACATTACCATATTTCTTTTTAAGCATTCTGCATTCTATTTATTATTTTTTCAAGGAATACCTGTTATGTTCTTACTACATCTCAAGGATTGTGCTGGTTAACAGAGGTAAAACATTGAACAATAGAGAATTTGTCACTTTCTTCCTAGGTTGGGAATGAATAATTTATGAGCCTACTGCTTTCCTTGGAACCACAAAACAATGGTAGACATTTCTCAGGCTCCCTCTTTGAAATCGAATACTGATTCCTTGTCATTTGTGGTCACCATGGTAGACATGGAGGGCTTGCTGACTGCTCTCTTGGTACTTGCAATCTAGCAGATGAAATAGGCATTAATTAAATATTTACAAAAATGAGCAAATATTAAAGAATGGACACAAGTTATTTCTGTGAAGGAAAGGAATAAGCTTTTGTGACAACAAAGTAATCTGAATTAAAATGAAGTTTGAATGCATAAAATGATTCCCTAGGAAAGTGATGTTTAAGCAAGAATCTAAAAGATATGTTGAAGGAAACTGATAAAGCATGTGTAAAGGTGCACATGGACAGTTTCCAGGAAGGAGAAACAGTATATCAAGTGAGCATGTTACCCTTAATGAACTGAAAAAGAGTCAATTTAACTACAACATTGAGTTTAGAATAGCGATGCTAGAGGAGGCTTGGCAGGTAGACATGGACTTACTTAAGAATTAGAATAAGTGTGTGATACTCAACACTATAATTCATTCAGTCAAAAAACATGTATTGAGCATCAGCTCTCTGCCAAATTGACAGCTGAAACTACAGTGGTGAGGAGGGGTCGGGGCAGCAGTTATAGTACCTGTCCTCCCGGACTTGCATGAAACAGAGACAACTAAATGTAAAATTATAGCCATGATGAGTTCAGTGTGACAAAAATATAAATTGCTAGATGACCTGTCTTGTTCTAGAAGGTCAAGAAAGTAGAAATTAATTAGGTAACACTAAAGAGTAGGAAAATGTTCTGGACAGAGCAGTATTTATTTATTTATTTGACAGATATGTATTGAGTGCCTACTAGGTGCCAGCCAAAAGTCTCAGCTTTGAGGTTAGGTATGCACAAAACAAAAATTGTTCCTCAATGAAGCTTATGCTCTAAGCATGTGTCATAATAAACAAGCAAGTTTAATGTTATGTAAAAGGTGATAACTATAAGGAAAAAATAGACCTGGGAAGGGAGCTTTTTTATATGAAGTAGTCAGGGAAAGCTTTACTGAGAATGTGGCATTTGAGCAAAAACTAAAACAAAGTAAGGGAGGTGTTTTGGAGGTGCACAGGTCCTATGGGGCCATTTACATTTGAAAATGGAGAAAAGACTATAAATGGAGCATAAAGAAAGCCGACTGTTCTACAGAGATAGCTATTTCTAGTTAAAAAACAAAAAACAAAACAAACAACAACAACAACAACAACAAAACCAGAAACATGGTTAGGCCTATAGTGTATAGGAGATGCTCTATTAAAAACACCTTCCAGAAAAAGGCAGAGCTATTAAAGTCCCATTTTTAGATGTATTCCTCTATACAAGTTAATACTTGCGAGTCCAACTACATGTATTAAAGATATCTAAGGCCATAGACCCAAGAGGGTTTCTGGCATATAAAAGGCATTTGGATTATTTTGTTAAATGACTTTAATCTTACAGTTATTGTCTACCATTTTGGAAAATTAAAGGTATAGCAAAAGAATGGCTGTAGACAAGCATCCTCTTTTGAAGAATAACTTGGAAAATAAATTTTAGAGCAGATTATTAAACATAAGGCCGTGCATGCATATTCAGTTTCTTGCTCATCTGGCGAAGTCAATAAACTTGGAATTTTTTGAGGAATAATTTATGAACTTGAAAAAGTCCTCTAAGGGCTAAGATACATTCACTAAAATCAAGACATGAAAACCAACTTTATATTAGATGACATTAAACTATTTGTACAAATATTATGTGCTATTATTACAAAATTTTTGGTAGATTTATTAAGTTGGTCGGTCCAATGGCATGGAATGAATACAAAGTATTTGATTTCCCTAAAATATTTTGTAATGCCTCCCATGATATTTCTGTGGATAAGATGAGCCTTCATATCCCTCATTGGGATAGTGGAGAATATGCCTGTGTTTTAACATATTTTTTCCTGATATCTTATTTATATGCCAGAGAATTGGACTGAAAACAATTGCACTCCTTTATTCAACCTGTAGTCCAGACAATTTGGGGGAAAGAAGCCATTTGAGGGTACAACTGGAGCACTGTATAAATTTCACCGGAATAGGAGTGGTTTATGGATGATTTCCTCTCTCATATTACTTTAGAAGATTTATACCAATGTCCTTTGAAGTCAGAATGTCACATACAAATGTCATATACTCATTTTTTATGTTTTACATAAAAAGTATGTTTCTTATTGGAAATTTTGCTGCTTATAGAAAGGTATCACACTGCCTGACTTCAAATTATACTTTATAGCCACAATAATCAAAACAGCATGGTATTGGAAGAAAAACAGACATACAGAGCAGTGGAACAGAATTGAGAGTCCAGAAATAAATCCCCATATATATGGACAAATCATTTTCACCAAAGGAGCCAAAAGTATACAATGAAGAAAGGAAAGCCTCTTAAATGAATGGTGCTGGGAAAACTGGAAAGCCATCTGCAAAAGAATGAATCTAGACTGTTGTCTATCACCACACACCAAAATTAACTCAAAATGGATTAA